CTTGCATGACAGATCCTCCTGAGAGTCAGAGCAGCTCTCCTAGGAATGCACAAAGCCCCAAAACACTTCCCCCCTAGCTGCTGGCTGGGTGGGGAACAGGTGCCAGCACAAATGGGGAGTTTAAAAATAAGCTAGAGCAAAATTCTTTCCCCCTCAGCCAACTTTGCTCTCCTTCCTTCGCTACTTGACATAATGTTATCTTATGCTATTTCTCCAGCTGTCCAGCAAGTCCACCAGAAAAATCAGTCAGAAGAGATAAGGATTTCTAGAAAAGAAAAAATCTATTAAAGCGAAAAAAGGTGACAGGCCCTCCTCCTTCAGTGCCGATGAATGGAAGAGTTGCCCTCTCCCTTGCATTCTTCCTTATACTGCCTTGCTAGAGAAAGCTCTACAGGCATCAGCACGGAAGCTGGAAAACTGCAGCAAGGTTGTTTTCAGGGGAGAACACTGTAAGTCTAGGACATATTGCAGACAATGCTAGCAACTGGAGGTTTGAAATTAGTTCTCCCTAGGAGGCTCAAGCTGTAACTGCAGACAAAAATGTGACTAACCAGAAAATGCAAGCAGGGAGCTGAAAGTTATGCATGTTGAGAGTATCTAGGTCTGCTAATGGGCTTTCTGAACTGCAGGCAATTACTAAGAAATTGATAAAAGATTGTGAAATACAAACAAAATTAGCTCCCTGCTCGCTGCTGAGAATGCTCAATGGTTATTATTTTTCTTACAGCAAACTTGGCAAACGCGCCTCAAAGCAGAGTTTATTTCAGTCTCTAGTAAATTTATGAATGAATTAAGTCCCGGAGTAGCTCCTGGATGATGACACCAGCAAGGTGTCATCCTGCTAGGGCAGGACTGCAAGTGGGTGGTTGGGGGAAGGTGCCAGAATAACTGCTCCAAAGCCAGCGTTTCCTGTCCTCTGCTGTGCTCAGCCATTTGCACTTAAGGGCGTGGAGAAGAGGCTCAGATCACTTTGCTTGGTCCTAACACCATGTTATCCAGCAAAACCAGTCACCCCAAATGCTGTTTCCCTGGGCGCCAAGCTGCCAGAGGCAGATCACGCCCCTCCCAAGAAGCTGACTCTGCTCGTTTTCTCTGACACTCCACATCCCTTTCCCTGAAGAACCTCCAAGCTCTTCAAACTACCTGGTTGTCAGAAAAGCCTGTGCCAGCTTGAGCGGTGTCCCAGGCCAGGGATCAACTATAAGACTTCTCACACATGTGGGGAAACTCCCTCACCAGTTTGTGCCCCAGCCTCTCTGTTCCCATACACCAGGTGGCTGGAGAGCCAGTCTGTGGTTGCCTTTGCCTCTCGAAAGGCTGAGCTACACAGCTGGCACCCCTATGGCACTAGCCAATTGAGCCATCTCCAGCTGGAGCAGCAAGGGCTTCCCTGACCAAATTCAAAGCCAGGAGGGTGAAAAGCACTAGTGGGGGAAAGCCCACAGTCAGACTGTTTCCAACCCAAGGTTGGAGGAATATGTGCAAGGACACAGCAGGAAGCAACACGCTAGGGCACAGCCCCATCTGGCAAGGTTTGGGAGAGGTATCTTGAGCTGTACAGCTCCAGAGAAGCAACCCTCCCTCCTCTACCCCTGCATCCTACCTTTGGGGCTCCCACTGCCTGTGAATGGGCATCATGCAGCTGGTCCAGCGCAACAGTAAAATCCTCCTCAAGCACTGGGAATCCAGCAGTGCAAAAATCTCTCTCCACTTCCTCGCTCAGTCCGCCTGGAAAACTGGCAAGGAAAGAGAAGGGAAGTACTCAGGCTCTGCCCCACTCCTGGAGTTATCAGGCTGGCTGCAGCCCCCGCCCTCTCCCGCCTCCTGCCCTGTTGCCTGTACTACCTCAAGGCCTGGATGCGGGTACAAGCAGCCCGGCTGCTGTGGGACAACAAGGCACAGAAATCTCCCAGCACAAAACCCTGTGAATGTGGAAACAAACAGCATCAGTTCAGTCTCTGACCACAGCTCCAGCTAGGCCATAAAAGGTGTATGGGGAAAAAATTCCTTGTAGAGCTGTTCTCTGAGCTTCTGTTCCCTGGTTAAAGCCTCTAGCTTCTCTTTTATCTATTGGCTCTGTCTTCTAGCAGAGTTGAGCATCAGCCAACACCTCTGCAAAAGGTGTGCAGTCCTTAGGCACTAGAAATCTGCAGTTAAAGCTGGTATCTGAGGACCAGGGTTAACCACTGAAGAAGTTGATTGGGCTGTGGGAATTGCCCCCTTCCTCCATGGCCAGGTAGGGAAGGTTGGCCCAGTACTCCTGGCCTGCCCATCTCCACATGCTGCTGTGGTTTCACTCACTGCAGTCCTGCAGGCCAGCTTGGATAGGCTCACTTCTTTGCCCAGAGGCAGACTGGCAGTCAGCATGCTCAGCATCGACCTCCTCTGCTCTTCTGAAGGGGCTTCAATCTTCACCTTGTGAAGGAAAGCAGTCTGCACGTCTGTAGGAACATCCTGGAGCCTGCAGGTTGTGCCAATCACCAAGACAGGGTAGCTGCTGAGAAAAAGGGGACAGTGCGTGGTATCAGCTCTACGAAAACTTCCCTCTCACATTGCCATCACCCAGACCAAGTCACTCCCCAATGGCTAGCCTTTCCTCCAAGAAATGCACACATACTGGCCAAGGTGTCTTGCAGCCACTCTCCTCCAGCTCACCCTTGAACTGCTTTGTGAGCTCTGTCTTCAAGTCAAGGCCTTTCAAGTGACATCTTATTTCTTCACTTGATAACTCCCTCCCTGCACCCTGGTACCTGTCATCAGCCTCAAGATTATCCTGGGGTCCAGCACCCTTCCAGGGTCCCTGCAACACTTGGCATGCCTCACAACAAACACGCCAGGTTTGCTCATCTGAACAACTCAGAAAACCAGCTTCAAATAACAGTGTCCTGATTTCCTCTGTCACTAAGCTGGAAGAACAAGGGCCCTCTGAAATAAACAAAGCGAGTCTGGGAGAAACTCCACTGGATTAAAAATAAAACAGGGCACATTACTAATCAGTCACCTTGATATAACGATGAGCGCTGCCCTAGGAACGGCAGAAACAATCACCTCAGATGCCCACAGCAAACGTGCAGGGTCCATACCTCAGTGCTGGGTCTCTGACCAGGAGCAGCTGTCTCAGAGTAGCATACTGCTGGGCCTGGGTGAAGGCCATCTGTACTTTCTCCTCTGTGGCTCCACTGGTGTCACTGCACAAACTAACGCAATCAACCTGTGAAACACACAACATACAGTCTGCAGTGATTGCAACATGGACAGCTGGGGGACCCAGGACAGCATTCACTTCCACAAAGCTTTCCATGGGCAATTCACAGCTGAAAGGAGATCTAAGTGGATATTTCCCAGAGACATGAAATAGACATATTTGGGACATATTTAAAATAAACACATTCAGGACTCTCTGTTATGGAAAACAGCTGCTTCTTGCTTCTCTGCAGTAGGTGAGGGGGGCAGGAGCGTCTTGTGTGAAAGAGATGAGGCCAAGGGTCTGGAGAAGTCCATACAGTGGATGACACTGCTCAGCAACCTAAGCTGGAAGGGGGAAAGCTGTGGAAGAGGTCAAGACAAGGAGAACAATGTGCTTCGGAGGAACAGTGCAAGGAGCAGAGGGGGAGGCTCAGGAAACTGTTCAACCCAGTCCTGCACAGGCTCAAAGTGCAAGAGGAAAGTATTAGGTGGGTGGAGGTGGGAGTTAAGAGCTGGCTAGAGACCCAGACACTGTTTACAAAGCAAACAGCTGATGAAGTCATCCAAAAGGGAGATGTGACTGGTGAGCCTTGAACAGCAGCTTGAACACTGCTGGAAACAGGCAGTGCTGCCTCCTGGTGCTGTGAGGTTGCTCAGGGAGCACCAAACCATCTCTGGGATTCCCTGGGCCTCATCCTCAGAAAGAGCAGCTTAGAGCAGTAAGAATGCCACAGCCTCAAGAGCTGATGTAAAGGGTAAGGACAGGGACACAGAGCAGAACAACTCCTGTGCTTCATGTGCTATAGAAAAAAAACAAACCAGGATTTAGGGTTGTGGCAGGCACGGCCAAATGGCAGCAGTATCTGTATGCAAGTACAGAAGGGCAGAGAAAAGGACAAAAAACTGCAGATCATCAAGTAGTGGAGATTACAGTGTGGAAGAATCACTGTGTCCTGGTAGGAGAGCAGGCAGAACAGTCAGAGGAAGGGAAGAGAAGGTGGAATGGTAATGTAAGCATTGCAGTAAGTGAGAAAAGGAGGGGAGAGTGTAAAAGCTGGGACAGGAGAATAAGATGGACAGAAAATACCTCTAGCTCCAGTAGTGAGAGTGTTAGTCTTTAAAAGCAGCACACAAGGCCAAAGCCAGAGCTATAGCCTTGCACATCACACTAGAACCTGATGCCACCTGCCAAGACATGGCAGTGCCACAGAGCTCCCAAATACATCATATACAGGGATCTGAAGGTACTGTGAAGTCTCTGCAATTTTGTACTGGATCCCAAGAGCTATGGCACATCTGCAGAATAGTAAGAACTCAGCACCACTAAGGATCATGTCCAGAAGATGAGCTGTACAGCAGTGGCCCAAGGCTGTATCCACCTCCCCCACTGACCCACTGTTACAGGTTTACCTGGATAGAAAAGAACAGTTAGAGAGAGTAATGTCAACTTAACAGGACCCAACTTCTAAACAGAAGAAGAAAAACCCAAATATCCAGAATGCTTATCTTGTTTTCTATGAGTTTATTCTAAAAATACCCACAAAAAAGGAGCAAGCCTATGTTTTCCTTCCACAAAAAAAGGAACCTTCCATCTTCCTCCTCCTTCCAAGTCCTTTCAGAGTTTCAGAAACTCCCAGAAAAGTCACCATGTGACTTCCAATCCCCTCACTTCTGCAAACCTATCTACAGATTCAAGGAGATTAAAGCATTTGTGGGAAACACCCAGACTGTCAGAGTGAACAAGAGAGGCATGCAGGTTTATCATGTCAGTGAAGACTGCCTTGGTGCCCAGCACCTCCAGTGCTGGACAGAATCAGGGTCTAGACCCCATTTTGGCCATGAAGCTTACCCAGTACAGCCACAGCTGTAAGAATGGCTGTATTGGTTCAGACCAAAAGTCCATTTAGCCCGCTATTTTGTCTCCAAGCATGACCACAAGTAGCTGCTTAAGAAAGAGTAAGATCAGGGTAAGCACATATAACCCTCTCCCCTCAGGACTCTCCACGCACCTACCATTCCCACCAAAAGGGATTTTCCCAGTCAGATGTGGATTCATAATAGTAAATTTCTCCTGCAAATACTTTTAACTGCACAAAGAACCATATCCTCTAGCTTGCCTGTTCCAAATAGCTTCACCTGACAGCCCCAGCCTTTGTGCTGGCACAGAGAAAAGTAAACACTTTCCACACCCTGTTGACCACTCAAGATCTTGCAAACCTCTATCAAAGTCTTCCCAAGTTCTCTATTTTTCAAGCTGAAGAGCCTATTTCAGCTGTTCACCACACAGAAACTGGTCTAGACCCCTGATGTTCCCCTGTGTTCTCTTCTGAATTTTTCCAGTTCAGCTTTATGCTTTTACAATGGGGAGACCAGAACTGTGCACAACATTCAAGCTGTGACAAGACACAGATCTGCACAGCAGAAGTACCTACTCTCAAGTTTGTTTCCTAAAATGTGATCCGATTTTTGACATATATGGAGAAGAGAGACCAAGTTTTCATGCGTCATTGACATAAAACGAACTCAAATCTATTGTTTTCCATGTAAAACTAACTACAGTAAATTTTACCTGCCATTTTACTGCTCAGTTACTTGGTCTTGCTAAAGCTCTCCTCTAATCCAAGGACAGTCTGTATCCCTTGTCTCTTACCTTTAATAACTTATCAACAAGCCATCACATCACAGTTCACCCCCTTCCCCAGGTAATTTCTGAGCTCCTAGTGTAGATGCCTGCAGAGCTCCACTGCGGATTGTGAAGACTCAACCACTACTCCCATCCCATTCCCGATGTTTAACCAGCACTTTATCCATGCCAGGACCTTCACTCACATCCCACCGCCACTCAGTTTCCCAAAGAGCCTTTTCAAAACCCAAGTAGACTGTGTTGGTCAAGTTACCTTCACCACATGCTTGGTAACACCTTCAAGTAACTTTCTGAAGGTTTACAGGACAGGACTTCCTGTTGCAAAATCTACATGGATTCTTCACCAGTAGTGAAGTCATCCCAGACTGTGCTAACTCTGTCCCTCACTCTAACCTGCTACAGGTTTGTGCCCTTTGAAGGATGCCTCTTGTCTCCAGTGACTGCCCTTTCCCTGCTGTTCATCTGTTTTGACTTCCATTTACTTTTCTCAAGCCCATCCCAATACAATCCCTGCAGTGGCCTCGTGTCCTGGCACGGTGTCACTCATTCACCTCCACAGCAGATGTAACACTTCCTTATCTTGGCCAATTCTTTCTTTCTTAAGAAACCTCATTTTGACGTCGTTCACCTTTCAGAAGCCAGGCACTGCTATGGAAGATTTGGGGGCTTTTTTGTTCTTCACAGGGGTCGAGGGGGCAAAGGCATGGTGAATGTGAACACAGTTACAGGGCAGCTCTTCTACAGGCTGTGAGATTTTGAACCAGACCTGGCACACATGCTGTTATCAAACCAAGGGCTGCATTTCTTTTCTAAGGCTTCCCACCCAGCTAGAGAAGACCTCAGCATCATCTCTGCCTCACTTCCCAACACGCTTTTTGCCCAGCCTATGCAGGAACAATTGAAAACACACAACACTACTGCAATTCCTGCCCTCATCACCTCTCCAATTTATCTCAGTATATTTTAGTTACTGTCACCCTCTGGGGTATAGTATCAACTCAATGCCCTATCATATGACAGGAAGTCAGTCTGCTGAAATACAACTGCATATTGCGGTATCTATAAAGTACATCAGACTGACAGCAATAATAGCAAGAGTCAGTAAAGAAAGGTACAGATGCACCCCCTGGGCCAAGAGATCTCTAAATTACTGATTCTGGAGCACCAGAGGGTACATGCCAGAGGAAACATTTCCTTATGCTTATGGTCTCTTCTTGAGCATCTGTTACTGGCCAGTCTCAGACATGGGCCAGGGGGCTAGACAGACCTTTAGGCTGATACAAATGGTTGCTCTGAGGTTCCTGCCCACCAGCAGTCAATAATCCGTGCCAGTGAGCTGCTAAGCTCACCATACTCAGACTCCTTTTGTCTGCATGTGCACATGGGAGCAGCTTCTGGGTAGGCTCATTTCACAGTTGCAGCAGGGGTATTGGTATGGCTAACTTAAAGAACATTTCAATAATTCTTTCTATGTTATAAATCCACCAATCCAACTGATCACAGGAGGAATTACCTTGAAGAGGTGGAGGTTGAGGCAGCTACACACTGCTCTGACAGCCATGAGTTTCCCACTGCCGCTTGGCCCTGAGAGGAGAACACTGCCAGCCCCGGTCAGTGCACTTGCCCTGTAACAGAGGCAGTTATCCCAGTGACCAGGGAGAAGCAGGGTGCCAACTCTCCTGGCGCTTGCTAGAAGGAATTCTGACTCACCGACTGTCCAGGTGAGGCCGAAGAGCATCACAGAGCTGCTTCACGACATCAGAAAGTCCAGCAGGAGACAAACTGCTCCAGAACTCGTGGCTGTTATAGGCTGGGGCAGATGGCACAGCGCTGTTTGTTGAACCCACCTGTGAGGAAGGGAAAATAGCACTCTGTGGAACACCGCCTGAGAAAAGACAGGTACCAAGTGACAAAGTTTGTCCTGAAATCCTATTTTTCAAGAGCAGGAGCCACAAGCCTCCACAGGCACCTTCGTCATCCACAGTGCAACCTCAGCCTCAGATCTCCTGTACACACTGCACTGACATCTTACCAGATAGAGAGAGGTGTTCTGAGTGTCCACCAGGTAACCCTCAGACTACTCGCCTTCCACCATGCCTAAAATCTTCCTCACTTTGAAGTAAAGCTCTGGCCATCTAAGAGAAAAAACAAGCAGTCTAAATTGTTCCTGAGTTCAAGACCTTGACTCAACAAAACAGTTATCAACAAGAAGACAGCTGAAAGGCACAGGTGAGCAGAGATACTGTTGCCCTCTCCCAGGACCCACATGGATCCTTTATGGACCCTGCTGTGCTGTCTGACCAGACAGATCAACAGGACTGTCAACAGTTACAGCTTCCGCAGCTGGCTTCAGTCCACAAGTATGGCTGTACCAACCTTATTTCATCTATCTAAGAGCTCAAGAGATTCTCCCTTCTGACACGGCTTCCTTCACTACAACTCCATAGAGATTCACCTGCAGCATATAAAACCTTACAGCGTAGAGTCCTCTAGGCTGCAGACTAGGACTCACCCAAATACCATGAGAGCCTTCCTTACAAGCATCCCGCTCTGGACACCTTGCAGGAAAAACACTTCTTCCTACATTGATATCCCACTGGACAGATGAAGGGATCTGCAAAGGTTTCCTCCAGGATTTTCTCCACCCTCTGAATAATTGTACCACTTGCACACCAAAAACAAAGCTCTTTCAGTCCCATGAACTCTGGTGTCTTCTCTGGCTTGCCACAGGGCTAATATGCAAGTCCACAAATGGAAGACTTGTGCCTCCTATGGTCCTGCCTCCCTCTGAGAAACAGCCTAGAAAATATTCGTCGTAATAGTGCTGTAAAACTATTAAATTTTAAAATACAGTAGCAGAGCTGAGCAGTGTTACAACATGTCGCTGGGGCATCCTGCATGAACCATTCCAGGCAATTCTTTGCATCGCACACCTTGGTTACCTGAGGGCAGTTGCCTCAGTGACACGCTAAAGCATTTATATTAACACCAGCCAAATCCTGCTGTAAGCACCCCTACTTTGATACAAAGGTGACTTTTGTTTAGCACGGAACTGTTTCAAAGCCATATAAGCAAAACCAAGGAAGGCAGAATTGGTGGCCAAACAGAAAATTATTCTAACATGAACTGTAAGGGCTTATAGTCACACTCAGTTGTTTGTCACACGTTGACAAGCCCAACTTCCACTTTGCTTTCTTTATGTGGCACTGGCTGTCCTCAGGCCACTCCTTCCTCCTCTTCATTCTTTTCCCCCCATCAGTTTCTCTCTCTCTTTTTCCTTTCTTCCCTCCGAGACTATTTGAGTGAGATAAGGGAGGCCTCCCTCTTAGATGCAGCCCTCCATAACCCAAGAAAAACATTTCCCTCTTCCCCCTAAAATAAGAGGCAGATAAACTCTAAACTCCAGGGACAGATCAGAATGGAATAAATTGTCTTGTTTCAAGAGAGCCAATAGCAGAAAAGTATCTCTTCTCTCGTAGCACCCATTAACAGAGCCACAGTTTGTTGCCACCTACCTTAGGAATTTGTCTGCATTTACTTCTAAAAACTCGGCATATCCAAATGTTGGAACACACAGGACGTCTCCCTCCTGGACAAGCCTACAAGAAAACCAGGGAGTTTCACCAGTGAAAGAGTAAATCCTTCTAGTTGTGTGTCCTCCCTGCCCCATACCACATCCATTTTTAAAGAATGGAATATAGCTATTCATACCAACTCATTCCTTTCCTGTAAATAAAACTGTAAATAGCCACTTAAAGATTCAGCACGCTAAAGGGACTACTAAAGGTAACCTTCTGGGAATAGTACAGAAGAAGAATGCTATTAAAGAGTGTCTCTTCCAGATCAGATAGCCTCCTTATCCCTGGAACAGCTGAGTATCATTCCAGCAGAAAGCCTTGATGGCTCAGAGGCAGATGTCATAAGATGGCAACACATCCATGTTTCCCAACTGCTCCACTTTATTCAAAGCTGAAAACTGGGGTTACGAACCACGTCCCAGAAGAGGTTTGCAGGCAGCACTTGGGAGCCCTCAGCATTGGAAGGAAGGAGATGCCAAGATGACTTTCAAAGGAGAGGACAAGTGATGTTGCGTGCAAGTGAAGCACACCGGTGAGGAGAAGATGGTGCAAGGAGATATTCTAAAACTACTGGGCATCTGCATTAAGGTGTTCGTTACATGCATCATAAGCACGTATCGGGTCTGGGTGCCACAAACGCAGAGCGAGGGTGCACCTCGCGCATACACCCCACAAACAGAAACGAGTCTGCTCCCTGCGCAGCTCACCGGGGCGTTCTGAAGTGCTTGTAGAGGACACGGTCGTAGCCTCCCCGGGTGCTGTAGGCTGGCGAGCAGACGATCTCCAGGTGCAGCTCCTTGGCAAAGGGGGGCACAGACAACACGGACCGGCTGCCTTTCCCATCCGCGGCACCGGATCTTTCGTATCTCTGCAGAGGGGAGAGGTCGCACCGTG